AAGAAGAAGAAAAGAAAGAAGAAAAATAAAAAGAAAAGGAAAAAAATTAAGGAGAACAAATTAAGATGGCTTGACCTAAGTTGAGCAAGTGAGTTTCCTTTCTACTAATCATCTGCCTAAACACAGGTTGTACGTGATGTCCCTCACTAGAGGAAATCCCTTAATCCTCTAAGCCCCTCACTGTGGAGGGCAGAGATTCCCAGGGAGAGTCAGGGGGCAGGCGGAGGGGAGGGAACCCAGTTTAGATGCAAGTATCTCCAGCTACAAGTCAGGATCCTGTTGGTGACACTAGAGCAGCGTCTCAACCAGAAGTCACAGAGCACTGTGTCCCTCCTGCACCGGAGACCTGCTGTGGCTTTCCCTGAAGCTCCAGGGAGAAGCCAGGAGAAAAACTGAACTGTCTGAATACCCTCTTGCAGAAGGCCAGCTTCCAATGTCCCAGCCACTGCAGCCACAGCTGATACTTGGAGCACCCACTAGAGCCGGCCACTCTCCTAAGGGGCTGTGTCTGTACCAGCTGGCTTAATCCCTAGACAATCCTATGACAATCACTATTGTCATTCCCATTTTACAGAAATAACAACCACACTGAGAGGTGAAGACATTTGCCCAAGGTAACATAGCTTGTAAATAACACAGCAAGAACTTGAACTCGGGTGGTCTGACTCCAGAATGCCAATATTAGGTGCAATATAAAATAAAAACTCACCTTCGCTCACCATTTAGTAACTATAGGTAATGAGCCAAGCACTGTAAGTTGGCTTTTTCATGTCACTCTCATGGCTGCCCTGTGATAAGGGCATTTTATAGTGACCAGAGAAGTTGGCAGGGTCTCCCAGGTCAAAGTGGGACTGTGAGAAAGTGGGAGGAATTGGGGCTGGAACCCAGTTCTGCCCCAAAAGGCTATACAGAGAGCCCAATCCCTGGTCCCTGCTGTGAAGTGAGCAGTGTAAGAATTCTGGGGAGGACAGAGACCAGCAGCTGTGACTTGTGCCTTCCCCAGCACTAGCACCCAGCCCTCGCTCTGCCCATAGAACACACTCACAAACAGCTGTTGGGTTGACTTAGCAGGAGTGGGAGGTGCAGAAGCAAGGGGCCAGGGCTGAGCTGAGTGTCCTTAAGAAGACCTTGACCTCTCTGGGCCTCGGTTTTTTCTCAGGCTCTGGGGCACTGTGCCATGGGGGTTAAAAGGATGGACTCGCAAGTCAGAGCTGGGTGTGGTCACCAGTTTTACCATTAACCCACCATGAGAGGCCGGGTGGTGCAGTGGTTAGGATTGCAGACTGGAGCCAGAATGCTGGGGTTCTTCCCAGCTTCTCCTCCCCAGAGCTGTGTGACCTTGGGGAATTCGCTTCACCTCTCTGGGCTTCCCCATCTACAAATGGGATAATAAGGCCTACCTCCTCTGCCTCCCTACTTCATGGCCAGTGTTAGCTACTCTGATTCTCCATAGAACGACTCACAGCCAGCTTTGAAAAGAGAATTCAGGTCACGCCCCCAGCTCCAGCTTAAAACCCTTCTCCAGCTTCCCATGGCGTTTGCAATAAAATCCGAACTTCTCACCACGGCTTGCAAAACCCTGTACACCTCTCTGACATCCCTTTGATCTCGGTGCCCTGCCTGCTGGCTGTGCTCTGGCCACCCTGGCCTGGGCCACACACAAGCTCATTCCTGCCCCAGGACCTTTGCACTGTTGCTGCTACCTGGAAGCTGTTTCTCCAGATCTCAGCAAGGCCCACTTCTGAGAAAGCTCTCAGTTCCAAACCTCCTATTCCAGAAAACCCACCCTGACCCTACGGAACCCACGCCCTCAGCATCTGGCCACCCCATTATATATGTGTTCCACAGCATCTCATCTCTCTCTGAAATTATTCATAAACGTGTTTACCCAGCTACTTAACCAGAATGCCAGCTCCATGAGAGAGAGGATGACTGTCTATTTTGTTCACTGCTGGATCCCCAACCCCTGCATCAATGTCTGGCACATAGTAGGTGCTCACTGAAAAATCAATGACTGACTGACGCTTTGAGACTTCTGAATGCAGAGAGAAAAATAGAGCCCTAGTTCCGAGTCGCGACAAAGCCATTCCCTACTCGTCCCACCCCAATGCTGTAGAATCTCCTTCTCTGTCCCCTCTCTGCAGAAGCACGTCCAGCGCAGCGGGTTCGTGTTTTGTTCCCGGTTTCGTTCGCGGCAGCGTCCCCTGGCCCACCACAGTGCCGAGGGCGCAACCGCGCTCAGTGAATCGACGAACGGCTTTGCTCCTTTCGGAGCCTCCATTTCTTCATCGGCAGACCAGGAACCACTGCACTTGCCCCGGGCTGTGGGATGAGGCGCCCGGGAGAGCTCCGGGGTCCTAGTGGGCGCCACAGCAAGTGAGGGGCCACTTTTTCCGGGGCAGAAAGGACGCTGGAAGGAAGCACGACCGAGCCCCGTCCCAGCCCCCACCGCAGGCCTGCAGCCCCGCGGGCCCCGAGAGGCGGAATCCGGCCGGGGCGGCGCAGGCGGAGCCAGGGGGCGCGCACTGTTGGGGGCGCGGGGGCGGTGTCTACACCCCGGGAAGGGGTCGGGCTCCTGCCCGTGGCGCCCGATTGAAACTTACCCATGGCGAGCGGTACTCCGCGGCGTGCTGGGGGCGCTGGAGGGCCGGGCGCGCATCCCCCGGGCCGGAGTCCCCAACGCCGCCGCCGCCGCGGGACAAACTTTCCGGCCCGCCCCCTCCTGCACTGCCCGCCCGCTCGCAGCGCCGCCAACGCCACGTCGGCCAGCCGGGTCCCGGGACCTGGAGGCGGGACGGAAGGGAGTCCGGGACCGCCCCCGGCCGCCCCGGCCTGGCGGGGACCCCCCTCCCTCGCCCGCTCTCCTCCCAGGGGCCCCCATGGGCTGTCTTCTGAGTCCCCCGTAGATAATCCTCCCCTGGGGGGTCACTCCAGCCCGCGGTCCTCCCCAGGTCCCGTGAGACGCTCACGCATACGCACTTGTGCCGCTGGCTCTCCCGTGGATTCATCCCTCATTCACTCCACGCTTGGATTTGAACACCTACCTCATGCAGACGCTGTCCTAGGCTTGGGATGGGCCGAAGAACAAAACAGACAAGCCTTTCGTTTACATTCTAGGAGGGGAAGAGTTTACATTCTAGGAAGGGAAGACGAAAAAGAAATAACTAAGGGATCCTGAGAAATACCAGCTAGTGATAAAGACTAGGCAGAGCTAAGCTGGGGTGGTGGGTGAGGCAGGCACAGGTGGCCGCTTTAGCTCGCTGAACTGAGGAGAGGATGTCGGGGCAGAGACCAGGCATTCCCCACAGAGGGAACAGCAAAGGCAAAGGCTCTGGAGTGGGAAGGTATAAAGAACCCAGAAATTAAGCCAGTGTCTGGAGCAGAGGAGGAGGCAGGGAGAGTGGAGGGAGATGGGGGCTAAGGGAGGGGCTTTGGTGGGCCAGGGTCAGGAATGTGGATTTCATCCCCATCAGCAGGAGAGATAACTGGGGAGTTCTAACTGGTTAAGGGCAGGAAGAGGGAGACCACTTGGGATGCAAGGTGAGAAGTTGGTTTGGGCTCATGTCACAGCGGTGAGGTTGGAGAAAAGTAGGCCGATCACATATAGACTCGGTCAGAACTTACAGACTGGAAGAGGGGCAGCTTGGGGCTGGAGAAGGAGATCCAGAGTTCTGTCTTGGCTGTGTGACATTTGAGGTGCTCATCAGGCAGCCTTGTGGAAATAGGTGGGCAGTTGGCTATGAGCCTGGGGTTCTGGAAAGGGGTAGGCTGGGGACACCACCACTAATGCTCACTCAGGCAAAAATACATGTACAAGCCCAGCACTCACATGGGCGCAGCCTTATCCAGCCTCTAATACGTGTTCACAGATAGGCACCTTCGCACACGTGCACCAATAGCTGTACCCTCACCAGATAAAGTCACAGCGACCCCTACCGTACAGGTGGATACACAGGCATTCTTCCAAGCTCCAGACACAAGCAGGTATCTCAGCAAAGATGACAGCATCTGCAAGACCTCTGAGCCGAGGGAATCCTTGTACAGTTCCGGAAATAATAATAGCTGGGGCAGTTTGAAAACATGGCTCCAGAATTCGTTGTTCCTTCCCTTGAAATCAAAGTGGGCTTGTGACTGGTTTGATCAGTAGCCTGCAGAGTGACACCGTGTAACTTCCAAGGTTGGGTCATTGGAACACTGGCACCTGGAGCCCCGAACCTTCATGTAAGAAGTCCAATTACCCTGAGACCCTCCTGGTATTTGTGGCCTAGTGGCATCCCCTCCCTTCTAGATGTCACAAGAAGTATCACTTAGCAACTTACTTCTAAGGAATAGAATACGGCAAATGTGGTGGATGTCATTTTCAGATTAGGTTGTAAATGATGGTGATTTCTGTGTTGTTCCATCTCGGGATCTCTCATTCATTTGCTCTGTTGAAATCTTTGAGCTGCCATGTTTTGAGCTTCCCAACGGAGAGGCCCACATGGAACGAAGCTACTGAATCACATAGCTAATGCCTCCAGGCAATAGCCAGGAGGGACTAAAGCGCTTAGATCAGCAGCTCCTGGGGAACTAAATCCGGCCAACAAGCTTCCGGTGAGCTTGGACGTGAATCTTCCCTCAGCCTAGCCTGGAGGTGACTCTAGTCCTGGCTGACACCTTGATTTCAACCTTGCAAGACTCTAAGCTCTTGCCCACAGCTAAGCTATGCTAAGTTCTTTATCCTAGAAGGCATGAGATAATAAATGTTTGTTTCTTTAAGCCACTAAATGTTGGGGGTAATTTGTTACACAGTGATAAATAACTAACATACATTTTATTATTGTTAATTATCTTGATTAGAAAAAGGAGCGGGATCATCTCCAGGAGAAAGTAGGGATTCAGTTATATCTACATGGACATTGGGAGGCTTATCACTGGGAGGCCTAGAATCTCTCTTTCAGCCCTTGAGCAGTTAACCATCAGAAGCTGAGAAATCAGTGAGAGTAGTATCTAACTTTAATTTAATGTAATCTTAAGGGACTGAAAATGCCTTTGCAAAGATCAGAGTGTGAGAGAAATCTGGCACGGTTGACTCCATTTTGCCTCTAATCTCACAGGCTACCTCTCTTCACTTACTGATTTCTGCACATAGGCCAAGCTAACCATGGGAGGAATTTAGTTTTTAACTTTAAAGGAAGGATGGTAATAATCCCTCCCTAAATCTAACCCCCTTCTTGCTCAGGGACTGAGCCACCTTGGTAAAATTAATGAAAGACCATGAGGTTCAGATTATGGGATGGGCCTGAATTATGCTAACATGCAGGTGTCGTTTCTATAATTCCTATTGCTCAGGAGTCATGTGGCCAGAGGTCATAAGGTTTGTAATTTTCCCAACTGCTCCTGTAGATAACATCACTATTGTAGAAGCTAAGAGTCATCTTTTGAGATGGTTTTCATACTTTTGCGTCCTGGCAACCAGCGGACCCGCTCTGGACTGAAGATTGTTGACTTCAGCGAGTCCTGTGGTCCCCATCTAGAGGCAGACTCAGTGCATGGGGCCATTTTCCATCTCAATGATTTCACCCCTCAACCAATCAGCACCACCCATTCCCTAGCTCCCTGCCCACCACATTATTTATAAAAACCATGGCTTCTGAAGTTTTCAGAGAGACTGATTTAATAACTCCACTTAGCCCGCTTGGTTAGCTCTGCATTAATAAAACTCTATCTCTACGCAATACTGCAGTCTTGGTGAATTGGTTTTGTCTGTGCAGTGAACAAGAAGAACCCGCTAGGTGATTATGGGGCTTTGCTGAAAAGCCCTTCTAACCAACGTCTGTCTCTAAGAGTCATGAACCTCTCACTCACTATTTAAAAAGCCTATTCATTAGCTTGGGGGTCTGTCATGGAAAAAGGAGTTTCTCTGATTTAAAAAACAATCCCTTAAAAAGCCACTTTACTAAACTTCCTTTTACAGACGGCCTCAGAACCCAAGTTGATTTCTTGGGGAGTGACACAGAATTTAGATAAAATACAGGATGCCCAGTTAAATGTGAATTTCAGATAAACATGAGACATACTTTTACTACAAAATTATTTGATGTGTATCTGAAATTCACGTTTAACTGAGCATACTATTTGTTGTTTTTGCTGAATCTGACAACCTTACCAACCATTGATTTGGACTGAGCTCCTGCACTAGTCCGCAACAGAACAGACTGAAAATCAAAATGGAGTCACCCATGCTAGAGTTCCAGGTCACCAAACCTAAACTAAGTTGTTATCTGACCTTTCCTGAAATCAGGAGAAAGAGAACAGCCCATTTCCCAAACAGGCCAGCTTAAATCTTCAGTCAGCGTGATGATGAAGTTCCTCTGCTTTAATCCTTACACTAAAAAAGGTAGCCTAAAGTAACCGGATGTTAACGAGTTATTTTTCTATTGCTCTGTCTAAAGTAACTAATAGACTTTTTGTTCTTTGTTTCTGCTTTCTTCAGTCCTTCTCTGTCTTTATAAAGCCAACCTCTGCTGCTCGGCTTATTGGAACATTTATGCTATTTGAGGAAATGAAGTGTTGCCCGATTTTAGAATTGCAGATTAAGCCAACTGAGATCTTTAAACTTGTTGTGATTTTGTCTTTGGACACAGCTAACACGGAACAGACCAGGAACAACTGCACTTCCCTGGGGCTGTAAGGATGGATCAGAAGAGGCGGGATGAAGACAGCAAGAGCCAGAAGGAGGCTTCAGCTGTGAATCATGTAGGAAGGCGCGCAACTTAAACTCAGCTGGCGGCAACCCTGACGTTTAGCAGGAATGATGGAGGGTTGGATTAGGGCTGAGAAAGGGAGTATAACTTGAACATTTAGAGTTCGTTTTGAAGTGGATTCTGCTCTGAGATTTTATTTTGTATTTTTTGCGGTGGAGTCTCACTATGTTGCCCAGGCTTGAGTGCAGTGGCTATTCACAGGTATGACAGTGGTGCCCTACAGCTTCTCACTCCTGGCTCAAGTGATCCTCCTGCCTCAGTCTTTCGAGTAGCCAGGACTACAGGCATGTGCCACCGTGAAACTGTCCTCATAGGGTTAACGAGAATTACATGCTGGGCTCTGGCAGAAATGTACTTATAATGAAGCATTAATTTGGCTGCACTTTGGCTCCTTCATTGTAACGCAAAGTCATGTGGCACTAGACACTGCCTTTTCATCCCCATTGTTCCTCTAGATAGGATTTCTGACCTTAGAATCATAAGGCTTTTTGTGTAGGAATTGCTTCAGATGTTCTTCAGATCCTGAATTCCAGTGGACTGGCAGATGCCAACCAGCATGAAGACCCCCACAGAGGAACTGAATCAGCCTAAGAATGCATTTTTAAAAATCTCCCTGTCTTGTGATTTCACCCCGTATTCTTTGACCAAACAATAATCCCTACACCTCAGCCCACTCCAAAACCCTTAAAACCCCAAGACTGAAACTCCTCCAGGAGGTGGATTTTAGGTTGCCTTCTGTCTCCTCATTCATTCAGCTGCCCTAAGATGTTTTAATTCTTTCTCTGCTGCAACCCTTTGTATTGGTGTATTGACTTGCCCTTTGTATTGGTGTATTGACTTGCCCTTTGTATTGGTGTATTGACTTGCCCTTTGTATTGGTGTATTGACTTGCCCTTTGTATTGGTGTATTGACTTGCCCTGCTTCAGGCAACAGAACCGTTACAGTCACAGCCACAGTCAGCTTACTTGGAGACCTTTTTTTTTTTTTTGAGACAAAGTTTCGCTCTGTCACTCAGGCTGGAGTACAGTGGCATGATCTTGGCTGGCTGCCGCCTCTGCCTCCTTGGTTCAAGAGAGTCTCCTGCCTCAGCCTCC